TAGATGTATAATGTTATGAACTTAAGCTACTTAGGATAAACAAATGGAGTTTCATGTAACAATTTGAATTCATTCTAGAAAGAAAAGAAGGTTAATTTAGGTTTATTTCAATTTTTTGTTGATTACGAGGTTGGTGGAATTGACCGATACCGCTTTGAGATAGGGTAGAGAAAATAACATATAAACTATAATTATTTAGTGAAATAAAAACGTTTGAAATGCATTTAGGAGGTTTTAGGGATTACACAAAAGAAATTTGAGATTTTTGAGATGACGAAAAGTATTTTTAATTTTAAACATGAAAATTACTTTGTACATGGACTATTCAAAACAAATACTCAATATGTTCATGGACAAATCATTATTTTATTAAAAATACTTCACTAAGAAATGACTTTTTGTTTGTGAAAGACTTATAATATTAACTGAAAGACTGCCAAATTTTGTGAAGATATACCCAATATATTGAGAGTTATAAGTATTAAATTTATATCAACTTTAAACTAGTACAAAAGGTCACGTGACTTGGTCAAATTGACCGACCCTATTTTGAGAGAGTTAACAAAGATGGCCAAAGAAGAAGTGGCAGAGATGGGCACTCTTGAAGGTACTGAAGAAAAGGAAACTATGGTTGGGTCAGTCAATCCGGGACTACCAACAGCACAATCAACAAGGAGTGGATCAAATTATAACCAGAACTCTGGGTAACAGACAAATAGGGGTGAAGGCATAGAGGTCTTGACTGAATGCATCTATCACCAAAGCCCAAGGATGAGGTACCGGGCCAAAATGCCTGTAGTTGAGAGTTCCAATGAGTTGCAAATGCATTGATCACCGGAGTCCTGAACTTAGAGCAAATCCACAGAAAAAACTCACAATGTAGGATCCATTTGGTCTGGAGAATTTGTTGAGCAGAGACAGATGATCTGCTATTAAATTGATCACTCCCGGAACATGGTAAGCTAAGAGGCTGATATGATGGGAGTGAGCAAAGTAGAGAATATCCAAAGTTCAAAAACAAAGGTCCTGAGAACATGTTCCCCCTTGACAGGAAATATAACATATAACCATGGAATTGTCAGAATGAATCACGACAATTTTCCCTTCAATACAGCTAGACCTTGAGCCATTGCACAATGGTTAGAAAGAAGTTCTAAAATATTTATGTGGAAGGAAGATTCGTCATCCGTCCATAGACCCTGGAATTCCAGATCATTGATATACGCACTTCATCCCTGAAGTGAGGCATCTGTGAAGAGATGAATCTCGGGATGAGGGGGGTGGTATAAGAACATCTATTGTAGTGCTGTTCCAATCCAACCACCATTTGAAATGTTGCTCCTGAATAAGGAAACTGGATGATCCAGTGGATTGCAGTTCCTTATCCATTGGTTGTGCAGTGACCACTGAAGGGATTGCATGTGTGCTCATCCCAAAGGAATTATAGATTCAAGAAATGCCCACATCCCCAAAAGAGAGAGAACCATCCACACAATAGATGAAGGAGACGTGAGTAAGAGCCTGACTGCCTGTTCCATAGCATGGAGCCAGATGGGAGTCAGTTGAGCCAAACTTAAATATGTATATTGAAAAAGATACCCAGATGGACAATGTATTGAGTCGGTGAGAATGGATTTCTTAGCTCTGATAAGTAAGCCAGCCTTGGTGGCTACTGAATGAGAATCTGGGTGTGTTGTTCCACCAACTGACAAGATGGTGCCAGAAGTAATCAGTCATTCATATAATGGTGTGTGCACAAAATGAAGGTGATGAGAAAAAGCTTGTATGACTCTGCAGAAGACATATGGTGTAGATGCTGAGAGAACGGGCAGAGCTCTGAACTGCAGAACCTGACCCTTGTGCATGAAAGGTAGACAGTGGCGAGATGACTCTGCTATGGGAATACGGAGATAGGCATCGAGCAACATCAAACTTGGTCCTCCACAGATCTGGCGAAAAATTCCAACGTAGGTTGAAAACGGACCCATAGTGAACCTGGGAGGATCTTAGAATTAGTTGAAATGAGAAAGATTGATGATTGGATGCCAATCTCCTGTCTTCTTGGGCACAATAAATAAATGGGAATAAAATCACAGAAGAACGGGATTGACTCTCTTTACCACCCCTTTGTCCAACAACTCTTTGACAGCCCTGGAATGAAGGTCCACACTCAGAGAATCTGTTGGGGTGGAAATACCACAAGCTGGGAGGATAATAGAGGTGGAGATGTGAATTGAATAACTGACCTCAATGCCACAACCTGGAGTACTCATAGATCTGTGGTGAAGAAAATCCAGATGTCCAGAAAATATTGTAACTGCTCTAATACAGACCCCACTGGCATAGGGTAGTCACCAATGCCATGGCAATGGTCCGCTCTAGCAGAGGTGCCTCTTGGATAAGGACAACATCTATTCTGGTTACCAATAGAATGAGGAGCTGAAGTGGGAGGTCAGGACACATGACGAGTAATAGCACCATGTCTTCCAGTAGGAGCCAAAGAAAGTCTAGAGGCCAACGTGCTCCCCCACTTTCCTCTCTTCCCCAGTGGTCAGCTGCAATCTTTAATACAGAATATTGAAATTATCCAATAAATGTTTATTTACTCAATGTAAATAAAGATTCTCTAACAATTCTAGCAGTCAGTAGGTCATTAAGCAAAATAGAATCCAGCAAGTAGTTTTTTTCTCTTTCACTGTCTGTGAATCAAGACAGTGTTTTATTTATTCAATATTGCCATTAGTTTAATTTGCTGTTAGTGTTTAAATTATTGTCTGCAGAACATTTTCAGAAAATGTAGTTTCCAAACATTTCTAGTTAACTGAATATTACACAGTCTCATATTTTCAATTTAAGACCAATTAGTATTTTTTGGCAGTACTTGGCTGATGGAATAACTACACATACATGTAACAAATGCACAGTAAGTCAAACATGTATAATACCATTCATACTGTGCATGATTTAAGTGCTGAAAATATTAGATAGATTTCTTAGGTTCTATTTACCTTTTGAACTAGAGTCATAACCAATCTTTTTCACAGTTTCTCTTACAACTTCATGATAATTAATGTGAGCCTTTGAAGTAATTTCTCCAAACACCATGATCATACCAGTTTTGGATGCAGTTTCTGAGAAAAAAAAAAACACACATACATCACTATACTCACTATCAACACAAAAAATATTATATTTATTATTACTCTAAAATCTAGATCTTACTTAACTTTCAGTCAAAGTTATATGTTTTATACAGTTTGATCTAGCAGTTTGTTTTGTTTCTTAGGGTATGTCATGATGATCTTTAATCATAAATATATTTCATGCCATGAAATACTGCTGATATTTTCCAAACAAAAAATATTTTTAGAACCTGATTTTTAACTACCTTATTTCTATGCCTAAATATTCATTTCCTACATAAAAATATCAAGTAAACACTTTAGTGTAAAATTTATGTGAGAAACAAAACTGAAATATAATAAAATCTATGCGTACCAGCCTCGATATCTTTAATAAAAAAAGTTACCTCTGCATCTGGGTGCATCAATTTAATGCACTTGCTCTATGGTGTGTTATTGCATTTGGAAAAAATATTGGACAAAATGGTTTGAAACTTCATAGCTTTCTACAGATTATGCAGCTCTAGCAAATAAAATATCAAATTTTATATGTGATATTTGTAGGAATTCACAGCTTGGAATATATGAAAAAAACATCTCATTGTGATGTTTCTTTATAAACAAAAAGAAAAACTAATTAATAATACTTACCTGTGTTGAAGATTTTCATCAATTACATTTTGCCTTTCTACATCCTTGTATAAAACAGCATGCAGTAAATAGTAACAATTTTAAACACCAGTTATTATTAGTTGATTGTTTTCATGAAATGGCACCAATAAATACTCATAGGTAATCTATTATATCAATTACCTTGCTCTATTATTTAATAAAGTATAATAATAAGTCTCCCTTACCACAAGCTACTTTAGCATCAGGATCCTCAGTTAAGTGTGCATCCAGTATAGCATCACTGATTTGGTCACACATCTTATCTGTAAGAATAAAAAACAAAAATCTTGTACAAATACACTTCAACTTTCATTATTTAATTTCTTACAAGAGCTGGATTACAGTATATCATTTTCCTATTTGAACTATATTTAAGGCTGATAGAAAATGAATAAATCCTGTAATTAACATTTTCAACCTCAAAAACACTTAAAGTAGTTTCACCAATTAACTCACCTTTAAGATTCTTAATAGATAATGTATGAATAGGATTTTACGATAAAAAGTAACTTAGTATTTGATTATGGTTCAGTGTAAAACTGAATCAAAATAAGTAGGTATGCACAGGCAGTAAAATTTGGCCAAATACTGGGTCCGGGTACCCAGTCACTAAGCTTTGGCAGGGGCCGGGTGTCAACTGGGACCGGATTCTCCCCTTGCCCCCCCCCCCAAACACAACATACACAAAAATTAGAAACAAAAACAAAATTGACATTTATTACACTTATCAACAACAGAACATTCAAGTTTTACTTTCAACTTTCAATGCGTAGCTCCAACTTCTCAAACCCTAACCCTTATTGTTTTCAAAACCCTCACCTTCCCCAGAAATCCATTTCTCAAGCTATGCCTGTTATTAACCCCTATTGTTCTCTGAATCCCCGACTTTCAGCGAGCGTCAGTTTTTGTTGCTCGGAACACTTCTTTTTTTTTTATTAACTAAACCAATT